GTGGGTGAAGGGAGACGTCGGACAGGGCAAGATATGACAAAATATGATCTCATTGTGTGAAAAGGAGTGAATATAAATGCACCTGTGTCTAAAGGAGCCCTGGTAGTGTGGTATATTAATAAGGGGTTGGCTGTTAAAGAAAAGGTTGGTATCTGACTGCTTGAGGCACCCCGCAGAGTAAAAGACATGACAGTCAGCTTCCATCAAGCCTGCAGCCTCGTTAGAAAGGGGATGACTGCAGATGCAGATAGGTTAAAATTTAACACGCTATCATTTGATCTCCCTTCGACCTATTTTAAATGTGTACTAGTTTTTACATTTTCCACTTTCTATTCAACTGAGGTTTTTCTGCTTTGTTTTATTGTTATTAGTTTTTTTGTTTTTGGTATGTTTTTCTGTACATGAAATCCAGGATAGGTACATCTAACTGGATTAATGACTTCTTGGTGGTATGGCAGGGAAGGTGGTGGGGGGATAGAATGGGGAACTAATGACGATGAGTACAATAAAGAGGAAAATGTTCTAAAATTGCAGTAATAATTGTACAACTCTTCTTGATACGACTGAACTACTGAATTGCGTGGCATGTGGATTATGTACAGATAAAGCGGTTGAAAAATAAAAGTAAAATGAAAGACTAGCCTTGGAGACTTAATGGGGCAGTTGTACCCTGTTCCATAGGGTGGGGTTGCTAGGAGTCAAAATCAACTCGATGGCAGTGTCTTTTTATTGTTTTGATACTACTATAAGTAAACACATTCATTGCTTATAGCGTGATTTCATTCCCCAGATGCATCATCAGGGGCTCAGGGTCAAAATACTAGGTCCAGAGTGGAAAATCTGTGTTTTATAGAAGCTCCACTGACAGAAAGATGGTAAAAACCGAGAAATGCCACAGTAACCAGAAGGAAACTGAGGCGAGTGAGATATGCAGACAGCCTCGTGCTTACTGTTGATCTGGAGTGGAGTGGTGTCCATAGGGCAGAGGGAGGAAGCCGATCAGAGTGGAAGGAAGTGCAGGGTGCTGTGCAGTGAGTGAAGGTGCAGTAAGAACCCAAGTACAATTGAAAGAAGCCAGTGAACAGAAGGGACTGGAGAGTTCAAGGATTTGAGGCAAAATTTGAGCACTCTTCAATCCTGATGGAGATGGTCAACATGAGGGTGGGGAACCAAGGTACTGCGGTTAAGAGGTGATGAGCATGGTAAAGGATAAGGGAAACGATGAGAGGTAAGTGAGAATGTGCTCCCCTAACCCTTCCTTCGGTGTATTTATATACCTTTCCAGTAAACGCAAGTATTTGATTTCATTTGATTCATTCACAAGTCAGAGTCAATCAAAAAGAAGAGCAGCGGAGTAGTAAGATGTGAAAATAATCATATCATAGGCCTTTTCATGCCAGAGAATAAAACCTTTAACAATTTGCCAGTACCTATTAAAATATACAATGTATACCATCTGATGTAAACAATTCTGCACCTATTAATTAATCTTATAGAAATATTGATTAAAAAGTTCACCAATATGTTGCCTATAATTACAAAAACAGGAACATCACAAACATTTAGCAATACAAGACTAGCTAAATGACTTCAAATATATATATATATAAAATGTATATATTCATTTATGTTCAAATATATATTTGAATATATAAAAATATATTTATTCAAAATATATCTATGTAAGTAAATTGCAACCATTAAAAAATGTCATGCTATCTGTGTAGGAACATGGAAAGACATACAAAATACCTTTTCTAATGAGATTTAACAGTTGTTTATACATATAAAACAGTTCATTCGGTACTGAATACGTCAATACACACATATCAGAAAAATAACTATCAAATAAATAATTACCTGTTAGATAAAACGCATAGTTCTTTTAAGGTTGGAGCCATGGAATAATCTCTATAATTTTCTCGAGAGAAAAATGTCGTAAGGCCATTTTTGGGGGAGATATCCCTGTAAAACAAAACAATTCATTTGCATTTAACTATTTAAAATCTTATGAAACATAGTGGTACAACAGTAATTTATAACTACTTATCCTCTTTGTGTCTTTCCTAAACAATCACCTCTTCACAATTTTAATTCCATGTACCAGACCTGTGACCCTAGATATTTCACTTTTTGGATCACTTCTATTCTAGGCCCATTCTGAAATTCTCCAGTTCTACAATCAGTCTTTTTTAATTTTTTTTATTTCCCAATTAAATAAATCCCAGAGAGTTGAGAGTAAAGACAGGGCAGAATGAAGTAAAATGTCAGGGGTAGGGCTCCCCTCTGGCTGGGAAACATAAGATTAAGATATTGGAAGGCTGAAGAAATATGCTTCTCAACGGATTTTTATCCCAAGTACTACTGTGTTGGGCCAAAAGACGACTCTACAAAGATCCAATATTCTACCTGTTTCCATTAATTTGGCAAATTTGTAATTCATTCACAGATTGGGTAAATGGTGTGATTTTACGAAAACTACACCCTAAAGTGATTCTTAATTTTTTCCTTAACGTAATTTAGAGATTACCATATTGTAGCTATTAGTCAATACTCTGCATATAGTACGCATCCAGTAAATGGTGGTTTGATGAAGGAATCAGAAAATTAGTTAACAAAAAGAAAATTAGTAAAACTGACAACTGCTGATCTAGAGAGAACAAAGGTTCGGCTGCGTGGGAAGGAATAATCCCAAGGTGACAATACTGGTGAATTACAGCAAAGGCTGTAAGGCACCTTTGGTCCCGCAGCATCAGTGGTGTAAAATAGCACCTACACTGTCTCTAAACACTCACTTTATAGGAATGGCAAGGAACGAGACTTCTGAATGGCTGGCTCATTCGCAAAATAACTCCCTGTCATCAAGTCGATTCTGACCCTAGAGTCTAGTGTAGAACTGTCCGTGTGGGTTTCGGAGACTCACTCTTTACTGGAGTAGAAAGCCTCATTGTTCCTGTGGAGTGAATGGTAGTTTTGAACTGCTGACCCTGCAGTTAGCCGCTCGAAGCATAACTACTACACCACCACTCTAGCACATTGCTCCATTCCACTGCTTATTGTTGACTCAGTAGTTCAGTGTTCAGATGCTAACCAAAAGAACAGGAGTACAACCCTACCAGGCACTTCGTGGAAGTAACATGTGGCAGTTTGTTTCCATGAAGATTACAATGTTGGTAATTGCACAGGCAGTTAGTTCTATTCTGTCCTCTAGGGTTACCATGAATTGGAATTCATAGGTTTGTTGTTTTGGTTTGACTTAGGCTGGTAAGGAGCACATGCTCAGCAAATGTGCAATGAGCTGATTCCAAGCAGCACACTCTATTAGATCTCTACAACGTCAATGTATGAATTCGTTGGTGCGCTACTTGCAAAGCTACACTTCTGGAATGAGGGAGAAGCATTTACATGACCACTTGATATAGACTCCAACAGAGCAAAAAAGGCTCATGTCGTCTCAAGAGGAACCTTTATCGTGTATCTGGAAATGGTCAAGGTTCTTGGGCACAGGAAGAAAACATTCAAGCGTCCCTCCTCTGCTAAGAGATCAACGTATGTGCAACCTCGAGTCGGACCTATTAGCAATCTGAGAGCTGCGCTGTTTTCAGACTGGAAATGCAGTCTGAAATCTATCTCCTGGATAAGGTGGACGGCCATCCCGGCCGGGCAATGGGCTCAAGCATAATGATGGAGAAGATGGCAGTGTTTCCTTCTGCTGGATGTACGGCTGCTGAGTGGGAACCGGCTGGAAGGCCCCTAACAACGTATTTCCCAAGTGCTCACTCAGCACGTGACGAGGAGACCGGGGTGAACTCTGCGCCCCCTGAACATCTCTCTTCGGAAACTCTCCCTAGCCACCACGCCCCACCTGGGTGCTCTTCCGGAGCTAACAAACAGATGCAACTCACCAGTCCAGCCTCGGTTCCCCCACGACCATCTTGGAGCTCATGATGCCCAGATGGCTGCTTCACCTTTTATCACAACGCGGCTGCCAGACCGCGCAGGCTCCAAAGGACGCGGGCGCCCCTTGAGTCTAGACCCAACTGTGGGGGGGGACACAAAAGGTCAAGGTCAAAAGGAGGGGACAAAAGGTCAAGGTCAAACGGAGGGGCAGCTCGCTTGCCTGAGGCAGAACCTCGTCCCAACCCCACTACCCCGAATCGTTAACAAGTTCGAGAACAAGGCTCGGTGCTAAGATCCTCTGCAGCGGAGCGTGCGGCACCCTTGCGAATCCGCCAGGG